TATAAAATATTGTAAAATAAAATAAATGATTTACTTCTGTGCTTTGTATAGTTATGTGTTTATGCCATTTGTGCATCTTGATAATCTGTCCTAAAACCTCCTTAAATTTGCAAAGTTCCCTGGTACATCGGCTGATTAAGTATAATGTTTTGCTTGCTAATGTTTATGACGTGACATGTGACATGTGGCCAAGTATGGTGACCCATACTTGGAATTAGTGCTCTGCATTTATCCCATCCTGTTATTAGCTTTTACCGGTTGTTATCGAGGGATAGCGTACCTCGGAATGTCGCGACTGACCAATCAAAATCAGGTATTCCACAGAGCCGTGTAATAACAGTAGTTAACTACATTTAAAAAAGTGAACAATATTTCTGCAGAATTTATTAATCTTAGTTAATGTTAATCTTAACATTTACTACTGCATTTTTAAGATCATAAATTGTGAACTAGCATGAACATTGTTATTAACTAATATTAACAAAGGTTAGTAGACATGTTATTGCTCATTGTTGGTTAATGTTAGTAGTTAATGCATTAAAATTAATGTTAACAAATGGGACCTTACAGCTTTATAAAATAAATAAAATAACATGTAATATATATATATATATTGTGCATCTTGATAATCTGTCCTAAAACCTCCTTAAATTTGCAAAGTTCCCTGGTACATCGGCTGATTAAGTATAATGTTTTGCTTGCTAATGTTTATGACGTGACATGTGACATGTGGCCAAGTATGGTGACCCATACTTGGAATTAGTGCTCTGCATTTATCCCATCCAAAGTGCACACACACAGCAGTGAACACACACACACACCCTGAACACACACCCGGAGCAGTGGGCAGCCATTTATGCTGCAGCGCCCGGGGAGCAGTTGGGGGTTCGGTGCCTTGCTCAAGGGCACCTCAGTCGTGGTATTGAAGGTGGGAGAGAGCGCTGTACATTCACTCCCCCCACCTACAATCCCTGCCGGTACAAGACTCGAACCCGCAACCTTTGGGTTACGAGTCCGACTCTCTAACCATTAGGCCACGACTTCCCCATGCATTTATGCATCCTACATTTACTTGCATCCTACATTTACATTTTACAAATTTATGCATTCCCTGAGAACCAAACCCATGAGCTTGCCATTGCTTAGTTTACGCTATGCTGTTTATGCTGAGTTACAAGAATGCAAGGGCACTATCGTCATTATACGATAATATCTGAATACAGAATGCAGTACTTGACCAATCAGAATTCCAGACAGACGTGTAATAAGTCATATTAGGCTATGCATATTTCATACCTGGCCTCTCTGAATTTTTTCAGAACCCCAGGACGGTCCTGATTTCGTCTCCTTCTGAACCAGCGCTCCACTTGTCTACTGGACCAGCTGCATTTTTTGCTCAGACCGTCAATATCTGCCTGATAAGAGATGGAAGAGAGCAGAAGGCTAAGTCAAGAAATATTGTAGATCATCTTGTGTTAGAAAAGAGGCATGTTGATTTTAGTATAACTGTTTATGCTTCATAATTCTGGTTTTATTTGACCAAATGCTACCAAAATAAATAACTGTACTTTAATAAATACTTTACGTATTTAAAGTCTTTTCAATTGTCTCAAATTTTCTAAGGGTGTACAATTGAATAAATAATCAAGTAATAAAATTCAATATATATTTAGGCTATATATAATATAGATTTTAATTTGTAGAAAAACACATTAAATCAGACTCTTACATGAAAGCATTAAATCCATTTCTGAAGGGGAAAAATGCTTTATTAGCTATCAAACCTCAAGCACTTGATCTGGGTTGATGGTTTAATCTAATAAATTATTTACAATATATTTAACAATACAACCTAAATCTTGCACATAGTTACATTTACTGTGTATGGTGGGTAAAAATAAAAGAATAAAAAAAATTGGAAACAAATCCTAAATATGTGATCTAGATGGAACTGAGTTCAATTAAAGTTTCCAAAGAAATTTTGCAGAAAATCTTGTCTTAAAGTGCCGCTATTATATTATTTTTGAAACTTACCTTTCATGCAGTGTGTAACACAGCTCTAAGTGAATGAAAGCATCCTGCAAAGTTTTAAATCTGAAAGTGCACCATGTATAAAGTTATCGTCTCTCAAAAGAAAGAGTCGACTCTGAATCATTGAAACTAGTCGTTTTTAAGACGAATCCCAAGCCGTTTCATGTTGATGTCAACATGAAACATTAGCATATTGCCCACCCACTTGTTGGTCTTTTCCGTTGGTCTGAATGAAAATGCAAATTCATTCTTTGCCACTAGGTGCCGATTTTGGAGCGGTAAAAATAGCGGTTTCCCCGGTAACAACACAAAGCAGCACTGCGCTCACAAACGCTGCTTTATCAGGCATCACAGGCAAGATGAAATGAAAATGAGACCAATCAGACCAATCACCGCAGATTAGCACGCAAAGGAGGGGTTTGGAAAAATGAATCGTTGAACGAATCGGGAGTCGTTGAGCAAGTAAGGTAAAAATAAATGCATATTATAAGACAATGAAAGTGTTTTTTGACCTTGCATGCATGTCAACCTGTTGTTGGGGACTCCCAAAACCAAAATATGAACCTTTATACCCATAATAGGGACTCTTTAATGTCTAAAACAGTGGTTCTCTCCAGTGATCAAAGCCAAAGGCGACTTGGAATCTGATGTGGATCTGTGATATTGTTGAGTGAGGGTAGATTTTACCTGTCCTGGATGTTTTGATTTTGTAATGAAATAATGTTCAAGAACAGCATTGTGCTCCACTTTGTATCTGGTCTTCTCTGTAACGCCAAGCGAAGCTGCGAGCGGTGTCGCTATCAACCTAAAAAGACAGACATTAGTAGATTTAGATTGTTAACATTTTTGATTATATGCAATTCTTAACATTAATTTCCAAGTATAAATCATCCCTGAAGCATTTTTACATCCTTCATGTGAATCCAAATTATATTTCATATATCAGTTTTGTGGGGAAACTAACTAAAAAGTACTCCAGTAATGTTTTATTTAAAACTTCATAAATACATCAAAAGGGTAGTTTACTTTAAATAAGCTTTGTAGCTTGAAAAGTTCTCCAACACTGATCATATTTGTTGCAAAAAATATCATTAACAAATTCTCACGCTGGCCTCTGAAATCTGCCCTCAAATGATTGATCAAATTTCCATTTCCTGCAACATAGCCACAGAAATTCCTCAACTGACTCACCTTTCAAACACGTATCTGACTACAAGGAAGACTAAAGCATATGGCACAGTGACGTAGAGGTGGGATGCTCTGGCGTAGACGAGCCCTTCCTCGTCTTTGAGATCGGCCCACGTGAGGTTCCCCGGCAGCCACAGCCTGTCCCACCACAGCCACTCACTAATCGTCCCAATCATGACGTGATCTGGTGAACACAAGCATAGCCAGACAAGATTTTACATGTCATGCTTTAAACATATAGGTGTTTCATGTCAACAACCCCTAGAGCAACGATAAACATCTCAGATTATATTACTGCATTTATCAAGCAAGAAGCTGTTCCTAGTGATAGAAGAGTGTTTTTAACATCAAACCAAAATTGACATCATTTACTCTCTTAAAGGAATAGTTCAAATTTGCATTTACTCCCTCTCAGGCCATCCAAGGTGTAGAAGAGTTTATTTCTTCATCAGAACAGATTTGGAGAAATGTAGCATCGCATCACTTGCTCAGCAATGGATCCTCTGCAGTGAATGGGTGCCGTCAGAATGAGAGTCCAAACAGCTGATAAAAACATCACGATAATTTGTTTCTTACAAACACACAGCTTTTCTCTTCTCAAGTCATTAAATGATGGACTGGAGTGGTGTGGATTAATTGAGGATTATTGTGATGTTTTTATCAGCTGTTTGGACTCTCATTCTGACGGCACCCATTCACTGCACATTGCTGAGGAAGTGATGCAATGCTACATTTCTCCAAATCTGTTCCAACGAAGAAACAAACTCATCTACATCTTTGATGGACTGAGAGTGAGAAAATGTTGTACATTTTGATGCATCCATTTGTCTTAATCTTTTTTCCTCTTTATTGATAGTAGATCACCTACAAACCGTTATATACTAAACATTTCACTGTAGCATACATCATCAAACAGTATTAAAGTTTATAGGGAACTCATAAATATTTAATTGTAGTACCTTACAAAAAATATCGATTTTTCTAATAAAGAGAGATGGAGATTAAATAGGAGATATTCAAATACTTATTATGGATTTACAAAACAACTTCATTAACAAAATAAAGAGGGCAATAGAAGTATAATCATAAAATAATATTGTCATCTCATAATATGAAATAAAATATTTTCAGTGCAAAAGTATGATAAACATTTGTGCACTAAATATAGAATTTGCAAGTAATTTAAATACAGAATTAAATGAGTCAGTTAGATTTAGCCTCAGACATATAAGTATTCATGATAAAAATAAGGCTTACTCAGCGCTGTGGATTTATGCCAAAAACCAAAACAGATTCTCATTACTTTTTTATTAATGTTTTACAGTATTCTCCTGCATCCATTTAAACCTTCAACAAACGTGCAACGAAAGCACAATTTCAATAATACCAAACAATAATAAGGTAAACAGTCAAATTACGTAAAGACTCTGTGTTAAAATGCTTGAGATTCTGTAGCTGTGGTATATAATCAGTTTCTGAGCCTTAACAAATGATTCACAAAATCTGTTGAGTGTTGACGACCAAACAGCTCTGCTGCTACTAAAAACAGTGTTTGATAGAGGCGATGCTGACCTGGGGCAAAACCACAAGCTTATGTACCTACACACACCTGAGACGCCACCTGATCTGGGAATACAAGTAGAGCTGGTGTGAATCTACATGTTACTGTGTTGATTTCAGATCCATTTAGTAAATTACACATTAACAGCACTTCACACCCAAGTTAAATACCATCCAAATATTAGCTTTCATATACAAGGAAACTAATTCGCTATAGAGGGAAATATTAATGAGTTTACCACAAGTGAAAGTATGTCACAGACTGAAAAATAACGTAATCCTGGGTTATCTTAGTTCAAGTTTAGCACTGTCTGAACTGGGTTATTAATTAGTCCTGGATAGGGTTTTGAGATATTAAACTGTGCAGTAAAATATTTGAATATTTACCAGATGAATAACTTAAAAAACAATTGGCCAAGTGAAAGGAAATCAAGTAGGTTTTACAAGGATTTGTAGTGCTGTGATGCATCTCATTGTCCCCACACAACTCAATTAATTTTGTAATAAATTTAAAATTAACATTATTGGCAAAAATAAAATTATATATATATTTTAGTGCTGTCAAGCGATTAATTGCATCCAAAATAAAAGATTTTGTTTACATCGTATATGTGTGTACTGTGTATATTTATTATGTATATATAAATACACACACATGCATGTATATATTTAAGAAAAATATGTTACGTTTATATATTAAATATGTATATATAATATAAATTATATGAATATAAATATATACATGTAAATATATGTAAATATTTTCAATATATATATATTGTCTTTGTGTGTATTTGTATATACATAATACATATACACAGTACACTGACATATATTATGTAAACAAAAACTTTTATTAGACTGGAGTAATGATGCTGAAAATTCAGCTTTACATCCCAAGAATAAATTCTATGTTAAATATATTGTAAAATATAAAACAGTTATTTTAAATTGTAATGATATTTCACAATATTAATGTTTTTTACTGAATTTTTGGTCAAATAAATGCAGCCTTGATGATTAGAAGAGACTTTTTTTTAATAAACTTACCATCCCCAAACTTTTGAACTCCTAACTAAATGCAAACCATTACTGTATTTTGACCCTTTAATGTATCTGCTTATTCCTTTCACTATAATATAATTGTTCCTTTCTTATATTTTGACTTTGATCAGACAATATGAGCAGCACACAATGTCTTTCTCTGACTGTACTATGACCAAGAGAACGACCAGAACACCATGTCAACTGAACATAACAAAGAGCTCAGAGTCTGTTTGAACAAGACGCTGAGTAAACAGAGCTGCCTCCACGTGTACAGATCACACAGAATTATTATCACCCGTCCCTTCAACCCCATTACTGCCACACTATCTTCTTTCTTAACCATTTCTGATAACAAGAAACTATAGGATAGCTGAACGGAATAGTTCAAATTCAAGAACTGGTTAACTTAAGCACATAAAAATGGTTCACACTTTAGCACTACAATACAAGTCGCAATTTCTAAGACACATTTCAACAAATACAACCATTCATTTCAACGCTTAAAGATTCAGAGAGACCATAATGGTGTTTGGCAGTAGCTAAAGTTCAAGTGTCAAAGATTTACATCTTCTACTTTGAGCAGCCATCTAGATCTTACATTTTCACACCAACAAAAGCATCTTGATTAAAGCTGCTCAATAATTTTTTTTATCAAATTTTGATTAGATTTCAGGAACAGCAAGAAGAAAGAATTTAATAAGACCAAAGCAAAGAGACATTAATCTGCTAATGAAGTTTCCTAAAATGCCCAAAAAACAACTAACAAAAAAACCTGGAATTAATAGTGCCACTACCTTCCAGTCTCAAAACCCAAAAGCTCAAACAAAAAAAGTTTACACATGCTTTATTTTCCATTAGTCGCTTTCCAAACATAAAAGTCCTTCTTATTTTCTCCATTCGTCTTGTTTAAAACTCAAGTCAATGAATGAATGAAGTTTCTTAAAGGAGACATATTATGCCCCTTTTTACAATATGTAATATAAGTCTCTGGTGTCCCCAGAATGTGTCTGTGAAGTTTTAGCTCAAAATACTCCACAGATCATGTATTATAACATTTTGAAAATGCTTATTTTGAGTGGAAGCAGAAACACGCTGTTTTTCGTGCCTGTCTCTTTAAATGCAAATGAGCTGCTGCTCCCCGCCCCCTTTTCCAGAATAGAGCTGCGCCATTACAGCTTGGACCTGCTAAAAAACATCTGTTTTGGTTCTGATTATCATGTTTATCACGCTGAAATCATGCGTTTTAAACCATATTAGTTTAAACTAATGATATACGGTTTTCTGAGCGCACACAACCGAAGCACACGGATAGACAGCGGCCACCAGACAGCATGTGAGTACTAAACTTAGTTCTCATTCACACACAAGTTTACATTAAAAACACACGAGTTACAAAAACAGTCGGTTATGTCTGTGAAGGTAAACAACTGGGAAACAAATCGCATGTTTATTTTAGAACTGTGTGGCAGCAGCAATATACATTAAATAAATCAATAAATCCACTGCTCTCTTGTCCCCTCTGAGGCTGGGACTCTAAATAGTGTTCTGTGCTCATCTGTGCAGCCAAAGACAGAACAGTTAGCATGCTTTGCTCAAACTTTCGCCATGGCATTAGAACTGGTACACCGTTGTCGCTTGCAAAATCAAAATGACGGCACCGTGGGTGGAAACTTACAGATTAAATGGCGGTAATATTATAATGAGATCCATTTACCACGTCACCAAGTGAGCGAAATCAGACGTGCTCATTTTTTCAGATGCTTGCAGAAAAAGGCTTACCAAAACAAAGTTACTGGGTTCATCTTTGTCACGTTTCCTTGGTTGGTAGATGCACCGGGGACCTGATTATAGCACTTAAAACCTGGAAAAGTCAGATTTTCATGATATGTCACCTTTAAAATGCCCCAAAAGCAACAGAAAAACCTGGAATTAACAGTACCGTTCAGTCTTAAAACTCAAAAAAGACGGTTTCCACAAGCTCCACTTTTTATTAGAGAAAATTTCCGAACACCTTTCATAAAAGTCCACCATATTTTCTACATCCGTTAGAACTTGTTTAAAACTCAAGACAATGTCTGCAAAATGAGTATCAAGTCACGTTGCAAACATACTGTATTAACAAGAAGAAACAATTTAATACTAAGGTAGTTTCCTAAAATGCCCAATAAACAATAATAAAAAAATAACAGAAACTTGGAATTAATAGTACCGTCCAGTCTTAAAACTCAAAAAAACAGGTTTCCACAAGGTCTACTTTTCATTAGAGAAACTTTCCAAACATCTCTCATGAAAGTCCTTTCTTATTTTCTCCATCCGTCTTGTTTAAAACTCAGATTGCATTGGCCAAGTCACAATCGCTGGCATTGCATTTCACCCAAGGTCAAGTAAAGCACACGCTTACCTCTGCTTCCTGTCAGCGGCTCAGCGCAGCGCTCAGGTAAATGTCTAATCTCAGACCGCTCGCTGCTGAAGGTGGGAAAGTGCATAACATGACAGCACGGCTGCACTGGAGGCCCACGGGGACGCTCTTTGTTTGAAATACTTTGCGGTCACACCCTGCTTTAGTAGCAATTGACTTGATTCCTCCCCTCCTCCTTACCTTCCTGAGGTCAACAGGCATCGCTCATGCACACACAAAAACTGCGCCCTAAGGACTCGCCTCATTTGCATTGTGCAACTGATAGAGCTGCACTGCGAGGGCGTGATCAGCGGTTCACTCAGCCTAAATGATAAGAGAAAACACAGGCAGTGACTCAGTGCCACGCCGTCTCTACTCACACACATTAATTACCTGGAATTCAGGAGACACCTTTAGTTATTTATAGCAGTTGATCTCAACTAGTGTTACTTCAGGACACAGATTTTACACTGGACATCAAGCGGTGAGCAAACACGATGCAAGAATTGGTGCATAAAACGTCAACAAAAACAAGGTGAATATAAAACCAGTAATGCATTTTATTATGAACTGCACTGATCCAACATGATTAATTATTAACATGACAATAGAGAAATACGCAATTCTGGTTCTTAAATGTCAATAATTTCACCCACGACACAGATCATGTTTTGTTTTCTCTCTTTTTCCCTTCATTTATCTAATTCGGCTGACTTCTGCTAAGCAATAGATAATTTGCACCAAAATTATTTTGATTTCCTAACTGATCATATAGTTATTACATAAAATTATTTGTGCTTTCCTCTTTGATTGGGGTCAGTAAGATTTTTATAAGATTAAGAAAATGCTTATCAAGGCTGCATTTATTTGCTCAAAATACAGTAAAAACAGCAATATTAATAATAGAAATATTATTACAATTTAAAATCCGTTTTGTATTGTAATACATTTTAAAATGTAATTTATTTCTGTGATCAAAGCTGAATTTTCAGCATCATTACTCCAGTCTTCAGTGTCACATGATCCTTCAGAAATCATTCTAATATGCTGATTTGCTGCGCAAGAAACATTTCTGATTATTATCAATGTTGAAAGCAGCTGTGCTGCTTGATATTTGTCTGGAAATTATGATATGACAATTTTAGTAAATATAAAACTATTTAATCAGGTTTATTTATATTGAGGAGCTAGAACAAAATGAAAGGTTTTGTCCTTTGGGATTCTTGATTAGTTTAATTAATTAAATGCTCTTCAGTAACATTTAATGTGAAGAGAGTCTAATTATAGAACAAGCCTAATCATGACATTAAAATGAGCAACAGCTGTGTGGTCTACTGTACTGATGCCTTTCCTTCTGAAAAGCTGTTGGCGACAGGAATGGTTGTTGATTCTGGATATTTGCATATAAACTGATGGAAATTAACTTGCTCTCGTTAGCTGGTGATGTAATTGAAATGCTAATGAGGATGGTGTTGTTGAGCCTAATCCCCCTTCCCAGCCAGTGGAATAAACCTGCAGTTTATATACTATAGACATGCACCTCATATACTGCGCTCACACTTACAGTTTTTACCTTTTGAGCAACAAAAATAATAAAAACTGAATCAGGGACCCGAGTCAAATATTAATAAATTATTGGAAAAATATCAATTATAAATATATAATGAGATTATTTAAAATACCATGGAATGTTGCAATAAATAAAAATACAATGATAAATAAAAATAAATGAGGCATGGAATTATTTTACAGGAAAAAAATAAAAGTACAATGAAACCTAAGAATGAATAAATAAATAAACCGAAAAATAACTAGATTTCATTATGAGAGCTGACACATTTTAAAGCATATTTCATGTCCTTTTTTTAACATGAAAAAATAAAAGTACAAATGTACAGTGAAAATGTACAGTAAGCATAAACATTTCCATTTTACATGAAAATATAAATGCATTTAATGCTTTATTTATGCTTACATTTCATTATTCTTTTATTTTTTTCATATTTCATCATTTCATTATATATACAGTGGGTACGGAAAGTATTCAGACCCCCTTAAATTTTTCACTCTTTGTTATATTGCAGCCATTTGCTAAAATCATTTAAGTTAATTTTTTTTCCTCATTAATGTACACACAGCACCCCATATTGACAGAAAAACACAGAATTGTTGACATTTTTGCAGATTTATTAAAAAAGAAAAACTGAAATATCACATGGTCCTAAGTATTCAGACCCTTTGCTGTGACACTCATATATTTAACTCAGGTGCTGTCCATTTCTTCTAATACTTTCCGTACCCACTGTATATATATATATTAAATCGAGCATTCCATATTGTATTTTATCATTCCACCATATATTTATTTAATTCAATCTATTAAATCCTTCCATAACAATAACTTTGATGCAAAAATTATTTTTTGGTTCAGTGACGTATGTTTATTCACTGCATTAATCGAGGAGGTCATAACAGTTTGACATTTCTGATCAGTAATCTATCCTTGATCATTAGCTTTAAGTCAAAGCTAACTAAGCGTGTTTAGCAGTTTTAGAAGTGAGGTAGGGTTGTAGGGGAAGAGACCCCTGTTATGTAGTCTGGTTACAGCAGTCCTCAAGTCCATAAGACACACAAACACTTTACCCAGCAGAGAATCAGATGCATGTTCAGTCTGCACCATTCCAGATTGAGTCCTACCAGAATCTGCCTCAGTATTCCCAGAGTTCCTGTCAGGAACACGCTCTTCTGCCTCCTCGGATTCGTCTGAGCTCCCATAATCAGCCAGTCGTGGGACATCGTTACCTGTTGACGATCTAGTGCAGGGAACAACATCCAGCGTTTCTGAAACAGCAGAAGGAGCTTGAATGGAAGGATCGGTTCTTCTTCCAGCACTATCACAATCTTCAATATGACGACAAGAGCTAGAGAAGGCCGTCTGGTCCTCGCAGAGAAGCTTCCGGTAGCGGACGCAGTACTCCAGGAAACACGTCTCGGAGGAGATGAGGAAGTCAAGCAGCATGCTGTGGTCGAAGGAGATGGAGCAGTGCAGAAGTATGAAATGACAGTGAGGGTTACAACCCCAGACACAAACCCCAGAGTCTGAGGAGCTCGAACTGTGAAGAAGGGGAAGGAATACTTGTCATTAACTTACTTTTCTTTGTTAAGACATATTCTTACCTTTCTTTTCTAATTAAAAACTGGTAGTACAGCTCCTCTATTTGTGAAAAGATATAAAAAAGACATATAGCTGTCCAATATACTTTTTAGCCAATTACTTAGTAAATAAACAAACAAACAAATAAAACATATCACAACCTTAATGTGCATTAAAATTTATTACAATTTATATATGTGTGTGTGTGTGAGACCCTGGACCACAAAACCAGTCATAAGGGTACATTTTTTGAAATTGAGATTTATACATCATCTGAAAGCTGAATAAATACGCTTTCCATTGATTTATGGTTTGTTAGGATGATTTGGAAAGGCACACACATCTTAAAAGGTCTAACTGCTGATCATGCATATGAGAGCAAAAACCAAGCCCTGATGTCAAAAGAACTGCCTGTAGAACTCAGAAACAGGACTGCATCAAACCACACATCTGGGGAAGAGTTCAGAAAAAAATCTGCTTCATTGAAGCGGACGCAGTACTCCAGGAAACACGTCTCGGAGGAGATGAGGAAGTCAAGCAGCATGCTGTGGTCGAAGGAGATGGAGCAGTGCAGAAGTATGAAATGACAGTGAGGGTTACAACCGCAGAGTCTGAGCAGCTCAAACTGTGAAGAAAACAAAGGAATATTTGTCATTAACTTACTTTTATGTGTTAAGACATATTCTTAACTTATATATTTAATAATAAATATTTGTCATGAACTTACTTTTGTGTTAAGACATATTCTTAACATATATTTAATAATAACTTTTTAATATGGGCTTTATGTCGGTGTGGCAAGACTCAATCCTCTCCTCAGTGTAGATACATGAAAACACACATGGAATTTGAAAAAAAAAAAGCACCTGAAGGACCCTCAGACTGTGAGAAACAAGATTCTCTGGTCTAATGAACCTCAATTCGAAGGCAGCAACATAACAAAATGTGAAATAAACGAAGGGGTATGAATACTTTTGCAAGGCACTGTGTATATATATATATATATATATATATATAGTTGCTTATTAACATGCATGCTCTCTCTCTCTCTCTCTCTATATATATCTATCTATCTATATATATATAAATATATACTTTTAATAATAACTTTTATTTGTTAAGAGGGTAAAACTTGGATTAGGGGACATATTAACTATTAAAGAGTTTTCCCTCAATTGAAAAAACTGAAATAAGTACATTGCATAAGTATTCAAACCCTTAACTCAGTACTTAGCTGAAGCACCTTTACAGCCTCAAGTATTTTTGGGTATGATGCGTCAAGATTTGCACATAAGCATTTGGCAATTTTCTGCCATTTTTCTCCTCACCTCTCAAGCTGTCAGGTTGGATGGGGGCAGACACACATTTTCAGGTTTCTTTTCTGGGGCCATAGACAACTGTTTAAACTGGATGGCCTCCACCCAAACAAACTTGGTGCAAGAGTGCTAAAGGAAAATATCTACTTCTCCCTCCGTCATCCTTCAGTATTGTGTGCCAAACTATTTAACCTGAATGGCACACACACACCTGGACAGAGTATGAGTGACGACAGGACTTCATATCAGCTTCCGAGTCATCATGTGGTTGACACATCCCACAAGCGGCAGCAGGATAGATATATCTATAAATACCGTTAGCTAGCTAAGCTAAACATTCTTAAATTAAAATGCCAAATGCCTAACTTCCCTTTTAATGACTTGCAATGAGAAGCGTTTCTAAACCTGTTGTCCAACAAAAGAGAACACTATAACGTTTTTACTCCACAACTGCTTCCTTTTGTGATCTGATGTGGCTTCTTGAACGCAAGTCAGAAAGCTCTAATACCGGTCAAATGCTTCCTTTTGTGATCTGATGTTGCTTTTCATCACAGAATGAGGCAGAAAATCTATACTGTATGGTAAAAAGGCTATGTCGATTAGCAATGGATTATAAATATACTTAATTATGATGAAAATGATGAAAATAGCTTGAATAACACAGATAAACTATACATTGTTGCAGTCAAGTGTTTATTGTTTATTGTGTTTTATCATTCAAAACATTTATATCTTCTGTTTATTCAGTTACAGCGATAGCAATGCCTTTGTCCATATTAGGGATTTCCTGAGTCCTTTTCCTTACTCATGTGGAGTTTCTGCGCGAGGGCATCCTCTGGCGTCCAGTATGAATGTAACAGACATTAAATGTGTTTATAGTGCTCAATAATGGCCAATCCATCCTATTTTGTTGTTTTTTTTGTTTTTAATGTTCAGGCACCGTTTAGGCACAAACATACCTTCGCTGTGCTTATTCTAATATCGTCTCAGGTATAGCCTTAGCATATTAAACACAAACAGAATAGCATCATCAGTGCCCAGTGCTGGGATAGAGAGTTTGGCATGGTGGGCATGCTTGATTTATGGAGCAGGAAGCCACTTGGCATGAGCAACAAACCTCTGCATGAGCCACCTGTCCATTACGGCACAATTACTTGCTTGCATCTGTGTGACATTTAGTGCTAAGCAGAAAAACAGACTCCTTCTTACTGAAAGCTCCCTTGAAACAAACAGTGAACCTGCCAGCACTGCAGTCACATCTGAGTTAGCGTGACAAAAAGTGGGGTTTCAAAACGAATCTGCGTTGACATGCTAATGCTGAAATGTGCCAAATCAACACGTTTTAGTCCCGAGGTTTTGTTTCACAGGAAATGAAAACTCATCTCTGTGGAACCCGATCTTATTTCGTAGTAATGAGGAATCGCTATTACAAAGCTAAACCTTGTGCCAACA